GTTTCTGCTGGCATGCAAAAGATACATTGCAAATAGAGACCTATGGGTGTGTACACTTTGCATACATCCTGAACAAGATCCTGATTCTACAAAGACTTAAGCATGTGCATAACTTTGTTGTGGAATTAACTCCACCAACACTGCTAACATGGATGAAGCTATTCACATGCTTAAGCCTTTGTGGGATCAACACCAGAATGCACTGGGAACTCTTTCCTCCCCTGCAAAATGGGGCAATTTGCATGCTTAGGTCAGTGGTGTGAGAAAGTGTGCATCTGCTGAAAAACATGGGCCACAGCAATGAAGTTCCATAATTTCGAGTAATTTAGTTAGACAATAACAGAACACTTCCACTTTTGATCAAGACTGATGGAATCCCACCTTTCCATTGGAACAATATTTCTGGGCCATTATACTTCAAGGGCATTAAGCATTTTATTAAGTACATAATTATTGAGAAGGCATGTACAGTGCATATTTTCTCCACTGCCAAGCTAAAACTAAATATAAATAAACAAAAAGAGATTCTGCCCAGGTTCAGCTATGAATAGGAATAGTAATTCCAATGACTTGGCCAAAATTCCACGTGGGTGAATACCTACTTAAATTCCTGCTGCAGTTTCAATTGGAAATGGTATTTTTCATTTCCCATCCTAAACCAACAGGTGATGTTGCTGTAACCAACTGCTGCATTTCAAACTGAAGGTGGGTACAGTTTAGCAGCAGATTCAATAATCTCATATATAGTTACTGAGGGACTGATCCTGCATTTCCTATTCACACAAGTAATCCTCACTCATCAAAATTACCCTAGTCATATGAGTGATGTTTTGCAAGAGTGGGCCCTACACTTTGGAATGGATCATAGGAATTGCTATATTCAAGAACCCTGCAGTAGCTAGATGTTGGATAATCTGCCCCCACATTAGGTCTCATTCTGGTCACTAATAGTTTGAGACTTGTTTAAGCACTAAAGCATGAGGCTTACTATCCCATCTAAATTTATTATAATCATTATTGTGATAATTATTAATATAACTCCATGGTACACCCCTATCCTGAATACTGCATGCAAGTCTGGTCGCCCCATCTCAAAAAAGATATATTAGAACTGGAAAAGGTTCAGAAAAGAGCAACAAAAATGGCTAGAGGTATGGAACAGCTTCCGTATGAGGAGAGATTAATAAGACTAGGACTTTTCAGCTTGGAAAAGAGACGACTAAGAGGGGGATATGACCGAGGTCTATAAAATCATGACTGGTGTGGAGAAAGTGAATAAAGAATTGTTATTTACTCCTTCTCATAACACAAGAACTAGGGGTCACCAAATGAAATTAATAGGCAGCAGTCTAAAACAAACAAAAGGAAGTAGTACTACTCAAAGGGTAGTGATCAACAGCTCGATGTGTAGTTGGCAGCCGGTATCACGCGGAGTGCCCCAGGGGTTGGTCCTGTGGCCGGTTTTGTTCAACATCTTTATTAATGATCTGGATGATGGGATTAATTGCACCCTCAGCAAGTTCGCAGATGACACTAAGATGGGGGGAGAGGTAGATATGCAGGAGGGTAGGGATAGGGTCCAGAGTGACCCAGACAAATTGGAGGATTGGGCCAAAAGAAATCTGATTAGGTACAAGAATCCCATGTACCGCTACAGGCTGGGGACTGACTGACTAAGCAGCAGTTCTGCAGAAAAGGACCTGGGGATTACAGTGAATGAGAAGCTGGATATGAGTTAGCAGTGTGCCCTCGTTGCCAAGAAGGCCAATGGCATATTGGGCTGTATTAGTAGGAGCACTGCCAGCAGATCGAGGGAAGTGATTATTCCCCTCTATTCGGCACTGGGGAGGCCACACCTGGAGTATTGTGTCCAGAGTTGGTCCCCCCACTACAGAAGGGATGTGGACAAATTGGAAAGAGTCCAGAAGAGGGCAACAGAAATGATTAGGGGGCTGGGGCACATGACTTACGGGGAGAGGCTGGGGGAACTGGGGTTATTTAGTCTGGAGAAGAGAAGAGTGAAGGGGGATTTGATAGCAGCCTTCAACTACCTGAATGGGGGGTCCAAAAAGGATGGAGCTTGGCTGTTCTCAGTGGTGGCAGATGACAGAACAAGAAGCAATAGTTTCAAGTTGCAGTGGGGAAAGTCTCGGTTGGATATTAGGAAACACTATTTCGCTAGGAGGGTGGTGAAGCACTGGAACGGGTTACCTAGGGAGGTGGTGGAATCTCCATCCTTAGAGGTTTTTAAGGCCCGGCTTGACAAAGCCTTGGCTGGGATGATTTAGTTGGTGTTAGTCCTGTTTTGAGCAGGGGATTGGACTAGATGACCTCCTAAGGTCTCTTCCAACCCTAATGTTCTATGATTCTAAGTATTTCTTCCTTCAAGGCACAGTTAATCTGTAGAACTCTTTGCCAGAGGATGTTGTGGAAGGCCAAGACTATAACAGGGCTCAAAAAAGAACTAGATATATTCATGGAGGATAGATCCACGGCTATTAGGCAGGATGGGCAGGGATGGTGTCCTTAGTCTCTGTTTGCCAGAAGCTGGGAATGGGTGACAGAGGATGGATCACTTGATGATAACCCATTTTGTTCATTCCCTTTGGGGCACCTGGCATTGGCCACTGTCAGAAGACAGGATACTGGGCTAGATGGATCTTTGGTCTGACCCAGTATGGCCGTTTTTATGTTCTCGATATCCAAATAAATATCCAATACCTTTTTGATTAGTGCTATGTGGTATAAATGTAAAATATAATTTGTTATATTGGGCCTGATTCTCTGTTGGCCTTCATCTTGTGTAATCATTTATGCTAATATAAAGTGGCTTTGAAATACTACAAACTCAGAATGGTATTGGGTTACAATCATTTTACATTCGCTTTGTACTGGTATAAGTGAGTACTCAAGGTAAGGGCAATGGAGAATCAGACCTCTGTATTTAGATACAGTTTGAATTTGGATTATAAATTACCTTCTGAAGTGAGTTAGATGCCTACTAAGCTGTGCTACTGACATGGCATTTCAGAACTTCTCTGTATTTTGTTTATAATGACTAATATACACTTAGAACTTGAAAAAAATTGGGACTTTTAGCATGGAGTATTGAAAATGGTTTAGATTTTACTCTTCTTCATCAGCCTCCTTTTGCAACCCAAGATGCAATTTTCATTTTATATCGGGGGGGGGAGGAGGGGCCGCCCTACTTCAAAAGTGAGTGGGAAAAAAGCACATTAGAGGAACATGCCAAAGGGTAACCAATAGAGAAAGAAACCACTCATCCAGCAAAAGTAAATCTTGTTGGGTGTACTGTAATGTATTCTATATATATGATTGTTCTTTTCTGTTATTCTTGCTGTTTGATTCCAGTGCAGTGACAACTATAAACAGTTCTTAGTAAAACTGAACTCTGCAAATGTACTATATTTGACTGAATATATTTTGACAAATAAACCCTTTATTCAAATTAAATGTATCAACATCTTCATGTGCTGTGCAACATTTTACTATTAATCATAGTTATTTTCCTGCAATATCACCAGTATATTATGAATAATTCAACTTCAGCCATCCATATAGAATACAAAAATAATGTACAGCTCAGTTTAGATATAACTTTGGGATCAATACTTCTGAGGCTGTGGAATCCTCTCTTTGTATGAATATGACATGAGGTAAGCTAGTAAACCATGACTGGATGGCTTTTATGGAAGTTTTATTCACTGTTTCATTCCAGTCTAGTTGAAATCTCTGAATCATTCTGATATCTAAGACTTGGTCTCACCCCAATTACTGCCTGATATGGAAAAGAAAATCAACTTGCTCCCAGAGAAGCTGATGGCAAATCCCATTTGCTTCAGTGGTGCAGCAAGTTCTACTGGCTTTACAGTAATAAGTATCTGTTCAAAATCATTAACATTTCAGTTGACCTTAACTACGTTAAGAGAGATTCTCCATAGACATATGTGTAGTGTAACAACGTGTGCTGTTTGGATATGAAAGCAACATGTGTGTTCTGGTAATAATGTGTTGTCTGAACATGAAAATGTATGAGGTTGGCGTTTACATTGTGTATTTGAATGTGTCTCTGGGGAATTGGGCTGTTTGTGAACTGTGGCTGATTATATTTGGGTAGCTATGATTTTAAGGTGGGAAGGCATGTAAGTTAAAACTGGTCTGGATGTGACTGTTGGTTTAAATGATGATTTTTTGAATTTTTAGTGATTGTGTGGGGATAGGTGTGCCTATGGGGATAGGTGGTACGGATTTCAAGTGGTGGAGCGGCAGGAATGGTACTAGTAGGGATGAAGAAGCCAGTGAAGGTGAGAGTCATGATTCTTCTCCTGGTATCTGTTCATTTTGCCAGCACAATTTTTGAATGCAGTCAAGCAGCATGGAGGACCTAGCATTAAGTACTATGATCATGGCAGTCATTAAGACTAACAGGATGATGTATATGCATTTTTAGCTGCGCAGCCAGAGCATGTGCAGAAGTAACTCCTGCTTCTCCTCCATCATTAACCATATTGCCACAACAGCAGCAGCATTATGAAACAGAGCCCAATTCATCTGCCTTTTCATAAGGAACTGCCATTTCCCCTTCAGCGTCATGTGGGATGGAATGTAATTAGGTTGATTGACATGGTGGTCCCAATATGGTGTATTCTCTACATTGTGCAAGACACTGGAATGCTGGGGCATGGTCTTGACCTTTGCAGTAAATGGTGCTCGGCATAGCTGCTTGCCTCTTCAATGACCCTTTCAGAACAATGCGCTCCCTCTCAAGGGCCATGCTCTCCCTTTCAATCTTTTGAGAATGTCTCAGGAAACCTTCCCTCCACAGCTCTATCTTCATGGCCCTCTGTTGTGATGAACTGAATATTTCATGGAACAGATTATCTCAAGTCTCCCCCCCACCCCCAAGATTTGACAACCTCTCTGCAGGCAATAACTTCCTTCTTTGCACAGTTACAGGTGCTGTGGGAAATCAGAAAACACACAAGTACTTATTGTCCCACTCCTCATCGTCTCCATGACAACCATGAGAAAATGTTTCTCTTCCCACAATTTTGGAATGCCATTTCCATCTTCTCTTCCTACTCAGTAGTTCCTTTCTGTGTGGTAAGACATTATCTAACTTATTCCAATTTATTATTTGGGGGGGGGGGTGGGGGGGTAGGTGGGGTGACTTTATGGGTGCCTATGATTTTTTTAACATTGTTTGCAAGGTTGGATGCCTCTTCTATATGGTGGGTGGGAAAGCAGTGAGCAAGTTAGTAATTGCATTTGCACCTTTGCAGGCTGTCTAGACATTGGAGGATACAACCCTGAGACAAGTATCAGAGGGGTAGCTGTGTTAGTCTGTATCCACAAAAACAATGAGGAGTCTGGTGGCCCCACAAGTCACCAGGAGACAGAGCAAGGTCCTGTTCAAAAAGGCTGTGCACAAACCAGAAGGTATGTAGCACTGCTATTTACCAGGATGGTTTACCCCAACTGGTACATGAGTGGAAGGGGAACACTTATTACAGGGGCAGCACAGACAGCTGCTTTGCCATCCAATGCTCATACCAAAATTGAGCATTATCTTTGCCTTAAGTTCTCTCATGTGAACTGCAAAATTAATAGAATTCTACATCCAAATGCATTACAAGTGTCTTAAAATATCTATGCATTCAGAAATGCCTTTGTAGTCTGATTTGGGGCATTTACATTATGAACTCTAAACTTCTGTAAAAGCTAAGTGCACTAATGAAACTGTGAGCCAATGTACCATTTCTAATGATTCTTTTAATCTTTCTGTTTCTGGAGTTACAATCAAGGTGACATAGGCAATGTGTTGCTATTTTTTTTTAACTCCCATGGTGCTGATACCCTAAGCAAAGGGCAGTGGGCTGGGGACCATGCTGGCTAGAGGAGGGAGGAATAGAGAGAGAAGGAAGCAGCCTGTTAAGGGGTGGGAAGGTGGCTGATGATTGTGAGAGTTCACGTTGCAAAGAAATTGTAAAGGTTTAATTGTGCAGCATGGATGTCATTTTGAGTAAGATGGGAAGGGGGGGGGGATACACCATCACGGCAACAGGGGGAAGGGAGGTGAGGCAGAAAGCAAATTGGTATGGGAGGGGGGGTTCAGACATGAAAAGGGTTGCTGGTGGTTGTTGGATTTATGGGATTAGATACTGCAGCCAAATATGATGCTTTAAGTCTCTGGTGTGGACTCCATGTACAGCTTGCTGGCAGGGTAAATCCAAGCAGGTGAAGAGAGACTCAGCCCTCTGCCCAACATAGCACTGGGCAGCACCGACCCAGAAAAAGTAGTTTAAATCTCCCTATACAGTTGTATACTATAGCATATGATACTTACTGGCACAGGTCCTCTCTACAGCAATGTCAGGCAGGGTGCTGGCAGAGTTGTCCTCCACGGCTGTTTCTGGATGGCTCACCACAGGGGATTCTTGTTGATTATCCACATCTGCCATGTCATAGAATTCTTGGCTGTCCTCTTGGTTGGACCCCATGGCATGTGAGGGGTCAGAGGAGCAGTCGGTGGCTTGCTAGGTGCTTGCCATGCTGTCTTGAGTGCTTGCCATTCTCTCTGCAGCACTATCTCCCACAGCCACTTTGGGTTCAGTGGTAGCATCACCTGCAAACATGAGGTCCAGTTCCTCATAATATGGGTAGGTAGTGGGAGTATTACCAGAGGTCCTGTTATGGTCTCTTGTCTTCTGGTACTTCCACTGAAGCTTTTATATTATGACTCAGCTGCCAGGAATGTCCCTTTGCCTTCAGTTTCTTTGAAAGTACCCCATAGATGTTTGTAGTCTAATGATTCTTATCCAGATGGTACTGGGTATGCCTGTCTCTGAAGAGGGCAATCAAGTCCAGGACCTCTGCAGGGGTCCACACAGAAGCATGTGTGTGCATGGGCATAAGCACTGTTATAATAGGTATGTGAACACACTACTGCCTGGTATCAAAAAGGGACGTTCCCAGCTGCCTACCTGCATTTAAATAGACAGGCTTTATCCCTCCAGAGCAGTGGAGGGAAGACGGGTACACAGACAGGTTGACCCAGGTGTGAAGCATTGCAGTGTGGAACATTAGTTGGAGGACTGCCAGCAGCATAGTAGTTAGAAAGAACTCACCCTTATTCATTTTCCAAGGAGGAATGCATACATTGCATGTTCTGCTAACATGGATATAAATAACTGTGGAGATAATGAGGCCCTGCTTAGGCAAGTAAAGACATGACTGTACCCTACATGGCTTTCTACACACCCCAGCAGTGCCACTTCCATCTACACTGCTACTTTTAGCAGTGT